AACCCGTGGTGGGCCGGGTAGCCCACCAACCCACCATTTTTTTTTTCAATAAAAATTTAAGTATGATTTGTAGTTAATTTTGTATGATGGGATATTGAAAATTTTTATTTTAGACTTTTATCATGATTTATATTTAATTTTGTATGATGAGTTATGACTTATGACTATTAATGATGTTAATTTTATGACTATTATGTTAATTTATAATTAATTTAAAATTTTGAATTTTGTTGATAATTTCTTTTTTAATTTTTGGTAGGCTGGTGGGCTGCCCCGTATAACTCACCAACCCGTGGTGGGCTGGGCCGGACCATTTTTTTTTTTAGAAAATCAAAAGTGGGTCAGGTTGGGTTGACTCATTTTAAAGTGGGTCAAGGTGGGCCAATCCACATGGGCCGGACTGGCCCGTTTTGACAGCTCTAACATAAGTTATCAAAAGTCGGTGATTTTAATTCTAATTTATGTTATTCTCCTTATTTTAATTCTAATTTAATCCTACTAACAAAATAGTAAAAAAAAAATCTTTATTTTCTTGATATTAATTCTAATTTTCTCCATTCGAGTAAAAGAAAATTACAATTATTTTATCTAAGTTTTTAATCATTATAATTTCTTGTCATTTTGATCTTAAAATATAAGTTAATATTATTACTTACATAACACATAATTTTTAAAATTTTAGATTAATATGATTGATGAGTTAATTTTTAATAATTTATTAGTTTCTAAAACTAATATAACAATGTAATATTTCTAAAAGTTAAAACAATTGTTTAGTCTGATGTTATTAAAATTAATTCGGTCATAAATTTAATCCAGACACGGTTATAAGCAGTAAATTCATAATTAAAATATGTACTTTTTGGTAAATATTTTGTAAAAGTCAATTCTAGTGCAACAATGTGACAACCTGTAAAAACACACTAAAGTTAATTGTGAGTGTTGGAAAAGTGTAAAATAAAGATTAAGCATCAAATAATACCTTCTTTATAAATTATATATTGTTATTGAAAATAATACAAAAATTTGTCCACACTTAACAAATAAATATGTTTCAACAGTGCCCACTTTGAATAGCATCAATTATATTTGTTGCTTTTTCATTCTTAAATGTGATTAAAATCAAGTTGTAATAATGACAGGACCGATTGATTGGTATTATAACTACAGTCACAATTACTAGAACTATATTTTGACAAAAATAAAATTACAACCCATGCCCCATGAAATTGGTCCAAATGCAGTATGCAGTAGAAACAGCTCCAAAACCATATAGTTTTTCTATATAACCTATCAAATCCAGATATACTTTTATCAAGGTTGACTCATGCCACCCAGAAAGCCATACTTATTCAATATATCATGCCGATCATAGTTTAAGTGGCCAAACAGATTGGGCATTGGCACAACATAATGAGGGGAAAATTATATATATATATATATATATATATGAAAAAAATGTAGAAATACAAGTCCAGAGTGATACATGCTAGAAGAATGCATACCCCAAGTCTGTCTTCATCTGCTTTATGGCTTGAGGGAAGCATACGAAATTCGTTGGTCAGATGAATACAGTCTTGAATATTTTCAGGGGAGACAAAATCTAGAGCAACTTTTATGCACAACTGCCAAAAACCAACAAACAATACAATATTAATGTCAATAAGATTTCAACTAAAAAGTAATTAACATAGAAAAGGGAATACAGGCAGACAATTTGCTTTTGGCTTTTGATAGGCATGATTTGAAAGACCCACATCAATTAGTAACAACGCAAAATTGGATCAAGACATAAATGAACATAATTTAGAATTGGCAAACCTTTAAGTTTCTGACACCTGGCAGGTATAAAAACAGCCTCACCAAGGTTTTGTACAAAAGTCCATGGTTCAACTGCTGTAATAGGACCCTCAAATGCATAAATGGAAAGATGGTGAAATTCTATCTAGGACAAAATAAATATAGATAAAGAACTAATCAAATTCTTCTGAGTTTCCCTTTATGATGAGAATTCAGATAAAAAACATGATAATGAATGGGGTGAAAAACCTATGCCATAAAATGAAGGAATGAAATAACAATCAAGATAGTTTAAGACTAGGATAAAACCTATTCTATAAGATGAAGATATAACATAATATATATTGATCTCAATATTAGTTACATTTAAGAGAAGTGAACATAAATGCAATTTCCTAAGAAAAAACACTATACATGCAATTTCCTAACAAATGTGCAGTTTCCAATGAAAATATTCAAATAAAACTAACACTTGAATTGAATCTCAAAATTAAGAAAGAATCATATTTGATGATAATTCCACCTCCTCATAGAAAATTGAATATATAATTTTTATTTAAACAAAGCATTAGTATTTTGAGATATTGTCAATTACTAATTAAAAAAATCAAGAGCAGAGTAGAACAGAATTTTCTTTTCTTTTAGTATAGAAGAATATCTTGATTCAAAAGGCATATTAAGAAAAAGACTTAATTGAAAAAAATAAATCAAGAGTAAACTATTCAAAATGAAAACCTGACCAGCATTATTTTCAAAAATTATGTAATTACCTGATCCACTTGAGAACAATGGAGATGCCTGAATTCCCTACAATGCTTCCTAAGATATTCTTCGAGCTTGCACACGTCTTGCCTTCGAAAAATATCCCAGAGTTTACAATGAAGCATTTTAGCAGAAATGTAACATTAAATTATTCATGTATATTTCCCTGACAGCTTAAGCTTATGGGATAGTTGGTTCAAGACATGGTATCAAGGCCTCCACAACCTAGTGATCTAGAGTTCAAAACTCGTTGCTCCCATTCTTCAAATGAAAATGTTTAATTTCAACACACTTCAAGCATGATGGGCACTTGCATGAAGGGACATGTTAGAAATAAAATATAAAATCATTCATATGTCTTCCCCTGACAACTTAATTGTTAATAACACCCTCAAGCCCACTCTCAGAATGGAGAAAATAACTTCATTGCCTATCATTATCAGGAAATAGAGTTGCACAGTTTGAACAGATCCCCAATTAAAAAGATGTATAGCAGAAGTGATATGGGTGAGCAAAGGAGAATAGAACTTTGGCAGTTTCAGTGTTGCACAAAGCGGAGTCAGAAACAGACAGTTAGAGATCCTAATTGATCAGGGAAAGGAACAACATATATCAGATGGAAGGGGGAGAGAAAGTGCCAGGTTAAGAAGATTCTAGAATATAATTTGTAATAGAAAACCAGATCTCATGAACATCTTGGAGTGGAGAGAGGTTTGTTCTGCTTTTCCTTCTTCTAGATTCAGTAATGACATTGATTCAGATTTAGAGAAACAAATCTTCAAACAGATAGTGTCAACTACATGGATCAAACACCACCATAATGTCCTATTGTAAATTATGTCAGTAGAAAACTATTGACCTCTCCATCCTTTTCAATGGTTTTGCCTGTCATTTTCCCCCTCTAATTACTAAAGCTTCCACAAATCTCCTCCACAGATGCTTAAATCACATAATGCAAGCTTCTACCATCTTTTGTAGAATAGGTGTTAACCTAACTTTCTATCTGGTGCGCTTATTCCTAATTATCTCGTCACTAGTCCACTTATCCAATGCAATATTTTCTTCGTTTAGTTTACTGTCTCCGCATTTTACCACCCAACATTCAATTTCATACAACATCACAAGTCTTAAAGCTAAAAGCTATGCAACAATTGTTTACTCATCCAATGCAACATTGTCATTTTTTAATTTACTATCTCCACATTTTACCACCCAACATTGAATTTAACACAACATCAAGCTATACAGTAAAAATTTCCCCTTAACCTTGGTTAACAACTTTCTCTCACGATAACACCCAAAGCATTTCATATTTTCATTTCTTCTACTTCTACCTGCTTGAATCCTAAGTATAACCCCAAGATGCCTAAATCAGGTGACCTGTGGCATGGTATGATCTCCTATTTTCATCACAGCTAGGAATGGTGTTCCTCTTACTAGACTCACATTCCATAAAAAGAGAAATCATCATTCAATAAAAATTCCTTCATTTCTATAATTTCTATGATTTTTTATCCAGTTCAAATTACATGATCACCATTAGGGTTCAACTTATATATTTAAATAACTGATAGCACTTGCTCCAAACAACTGTTGAGAAAAGGATTGTGTTGGGCTTGTATGGGTGCATGTGTGTGTGTCGACCTCATGATTGTCACTGCCTCACTGGTTATAAAATTGGCTTTTAAAGGATCAAATGAATAGTTAGAGTCAACACTACAATTGCAGGAGATACTAGGAAAACATTAACCACAAATTCTATCATGCCAAGCAATGACCTTAAGACCACCAACCTATATACAAAAGCAAGTCCCTTTGCTAAAAAGAGCTATGAACTTTATTTAAAATAGTGCATTCACAACTTTAGATTTCGGTTTATTTGTGGTTAATATAAACTGAGAAATCATTTTCTAATCAGAGCTCTACTGAAAGAATTTTACATACCGCATCTAACATGCCACAATGAAGCTTGGTCACCGAATCTCCACGTACAAGCTCTTCAGGAAAGCCATATGCTACATATCTATTTGTCCCGAAATCAGGTTTCAAAGACTCTTCTGGTAGCTTTGTGGCCAAGTTAAGGAAACCACTGCGAGGATGCGTATACTCTTTGTAGGGTAAAGCACTAATAAACTCCATACAGTGACGCGGTATCCTCTGTTCAAATAGATTAGACAGAGGCCAATCTTTGAGCTTGAGCATCTCCGGCCAGGAGTCACGATGAGCACGACCCTCTGAGTATCCCTTGAAAAATTGGTGGATATTTATTCAACCTGAATGTTCACAAGGCTTGATAAAAACATTGCACGTTACCAGTTTAAATTATAATGATAAGCAAACACACATGATGCTTATGAACAATTAAAGTTAAATTCAATTCTTGCATAAGTTCAGATTAATGTTTAGGCGCACATCTCAATCACATTCGATGGTTCAAAACCAATTCTACCAAACTCCAAACCAAATGGGCATATAATCTATTTGTATAGTCATTAATGGGCTACAAATGTTCTCATATTTTAAAGATTTTTTTGCGACAATGATGACAGCAAAGATGATATGAAATAAAGCTAAGGAATAATATTACTAGCAGTTGGTTGAGTTAGTTACGTGTGTTCCACATTTTAAGAGAAATTGTTAGATTCAGTTTTAAGAAGTTAAATAGAGAGCCCGTAAACAATTAGAGGCACGCTTGTTGTTGTATCCACATCTCCTTCTTGTAATCTCTCAAACACGCAATAAACCCTTCGGAATCTTTTCTCTTGTAAGGTTCCCTAACTCAATCTCTGTTCTTCGAATTGCATCTGAATTTTCTAGAACTAAGAAATATTATAACAATTGGTATCAGAGCCGGGACGATTCAGTGGACTAACCTTCTATGGCTGAATCAACTCGTCATGCGGCAGCCATGCGGGAATTGGAAGAACGGTTATCAGCGAAGTTGGAGGATCGTTTGGTGGAACTTGCGGGTTCGATACAACGAACCTTGACTGATTCTATGAAAGAAACGTTGCAAGAACTGATGGGTAATGTGGGCAATATATCAGGATCAGCTGGTATTCATGGACAGAATCGTGGGTCTTCTTATTATTGTGGAATTAGGCTCGCTAGGATTGATTTTCCCAGGTTTAATGTGAGAATGTGAACCAATGGCTCTATCAATGTGACAATTTTTTTCTTATTGATAATACACCTGAGGACTATTGTGTTAAACTTGCTGTTGTTCATATGGAGGGTCGGGCTTTACAGTGGCACACAACTATTGATAAAACGACTAATTGCTCTAATTTGCCTTGGCTTCAGTACAAGAAACTGGTTCTTGAAAGGTTTGGTGATGTTTGTGATGATCCAATGGCGGGTTTAATGAAATTGAGGCAGAAAAAGTCGGTCATCGAATATTATGAGGAGTTTGATGCTATTATTACTCGCTTGAATTTGTCTGAGGAGTATTTGCTTAGTTATTTCTTGGGAGGGCTGAAGAAGGATATTCAAATGATGGTAAGGATGTTTCAACCAACTACAGTAAATAAGGCTTTTTCGTTAGCAAGATTGTATGAGGCTGCTAATACTTCAGGTTCTGTGAGTAATGAGATCAATAAACAGCAGAAAGGGGTATTGGGTCATCGCCCATTGAGTGTTGATAATTCTAGTTCTTCCAGTACAGGAACTAATGCTAGTAGGATTAAAGCAAGGTCAGGGAAGAGTTTGACCCCTGCGTACATGGATGAAAGGAGGGCCAAGGGTCTCTGCTATTTCTGTGATGATCCTTACTCACCTGAACATAGTTTGACTCACAAGAAGTTGCAAGTGCATGTTTTGGAGATTGATGATGAGGATGACCAGTGGGAGACAATGGCTAATGTAAATGACAGACCTACAGTAGGGGAACCACAAATATCGGTTAATGCATTGACAGGAGTTGCTAGTTTTCGTACCATGAGGATTACGGGGTATTATAAGAAAAAACCTTTGCACATCCTTATCGATAGTGGTGGATTCGTGAATACTGGCTTAGCGATGTGAGCTTGCAGAATTTGATCAGTTAAGTGCAAAAAAATTCAGACTCTCATAAACACTACAAGTGGCAGAATGGTGAATTGAGAAGGAAAGGGAAACTTGTGGTTGGGAATAACCTGGAATTAAGAAAAGATTTGTTAGTATGGTTGCATGCATCTGCTACAGGAGGTCATTCAGGAATCAATGCCACCATGAAGAGAGTGAAATCGGTAGTTTATTGGAAAGGGCTAATCAGTGATGTCAGGAGATTTATTCAACAATGTTCTGTGTGCCAGCAATGTAAATATGATAATTCTGCCACCCTTGGATTGTTGCAACCATTGCCTATACCTGATCAGATTTGGCAGCATATTACAATGGATTTTATAGAGGGCTTGCCTAATTCATTCGGTAAGCAAGTCATCTGGGTTGTGGTGGATAGGTTGAGTAAAGCTGCTCATTTCACAGCTCTATCACATCCATACACTGCAAGAGAAGTAGCTCAGGCATTTATGGATAATGTGTTCAAACTACATGGGTTTCCTGATTCAATTACCAGTGATAGAGACCCTGTGTTTGTAAGTCAATTTTGAAAATCAGAAGGATGTCATAGATGAATTGATACAGGAATACTTGAAATCTGGTGTCATCCAGGACAGTAGTAGCCCCTATGCCAGCCCTGTAGTTTTGGTGAGCAAGAAGGATGGATCCTGGAGAATGTGTGTGGACTATAGGGAATTAAACAAGAGTATAGTGAAGAACAAGTTTCCAATTCCTTTGGTAGACGATTTACTAGATGAATTAAATGGCTCTACGATTTTTTCAAAGATTGATCTAAGGGTTGGTTACAATCAAGTGATAATGGACCCTGTGGATGTACACAAGACAACTTTTAGAACTCATGGGGGGCAGGCACTATGAATATGTGGTAATGCCCTTTGGTCTTACCAATGCACCTGCAACATTTCAAGGCCTTATGAATACAGTGTTCCAACAGTTTTTAAGGAAGTTTGTATTAGTCTTTTTTGATGACATTCTTATCTACAGTGTGAACTTGCAAGAACATTTGAATCATCTGAAATTGGTCCTTCTAACTTTGAGGAATAATTACTTATTTGCTAGAAGATCCAAATGTTATTTTGCTGTGAATAGGGTGGAATATTTGGGTCATTTTATTTCAGGTGAAGGAGTGGCTACGGATCCTAGTAAGATTGAAGCTATGACTAAATGGCCTTTACCTCAGACTATTAAGCAACTTAGGGGATTCTTGGGTTTAGCCGGTTATTACAGAAGGTTCGTGAAGGGATATGGAGTTATAGCTAAGCCTCTAACGAATATGTTGAAGAAGGATAATTTTAGGTGGACTCAAGATGCTAAACTAGCATTTCAGAGGCTCAAGGAATTGCTGAGTAACACTCCTATCTTAGCACTTCCAGATTTTTCCAAGGTTTTTGTGGTGGAAGTTGATGCTTCAGGTGGGGGAATTGGAGCCGTACTCATGCAAGATCACCATCCTATTGCTTACATTAGTAGAATATTGAATTTACAACAACAATCTCTCTCCACATATGAGAAGGAGTTGTTGGCTGTAGTTTTTGCTGTACAAAGGTGGAGACATTACCTTTTAAATAGACATTTTATAGTAAAAATAGATCATTATAGTCTCAAATACATTTTGGATCAAAGGCTGACTACAGATTTCCAGCAGAAGTGGCTAGCAAAACTCATGGAATTTGACTTTTCAATTGAGTACAAGAAGGGTCAAGATAATGTAGTAGCAGATGCCTTGTCTCGAATAAGTCCTATTGAGTGCAGTAGTTTGATTATTCAGCAGTTGCAGTCTGAGTTGGTTGATAGGATTCGTGAATACTGGCTTAGCGATGTGAGCTTGCAGAATTTGATCAGTTAAGTGCAAAAAAATTCAGACTCTCATAAACACTACAAGTGGCAGAATGGTGAATTGAGAAGGAAAGGGAAACTTGTGGTTGGGAATAACCTGGAATTAAGAAAAGATTTGTTAGTATGGTTGCATGCATCTGCTACAGGAGGTCATTCAGGAATCAATGCCACCATGAAGAGAGTGAAATCGGTAGTTTATTGGAAAGGGCTAATCAGTGATGTCAGGAGATTTATTCAACAATGTTCTGTGTGCCAGCAATGTAAATATGATAATTCTGCCACCCTTGGATTGTTGCAACCATTGCCTATACCTGATCAGATTTGGCAGCATATTACAATGGATTTTATAGAGGGCTTGCCTAATTCATTCGGTAAGCAAGTCATCTGGGTTGTGGTGGATAGGTTGAGTAAAGCTGCTCATTTCACAGCTCTATCACATCCATACACTGCAAGAGAAGTAGCTCAGGCATTTATGGATAATGTGTTCAAACTACATGGGTTTCCTGATTCAATTACCAGTGATAGAGACCCTGTGTTTGTAAGTCAATTTTGACAGGATTTTATGGCTTTCCAAGGAGTTCAGATTCAGCTTTCAACAAGCTATCATCCTCAGACTGATGGGCAATCTGAGGTGGCGAATAGATGTTTAGAAACCTATCTTAGATGCATGTGTGCAGATTCCCCTCAAAATTGGTCTAAGTGGCTTCCTATGGCAGAGTGGTGGTACAACACTACCTATCACATAGCTATCAAGGCTACTCCTTATGAAATCATGTATGGCCAACCACCTCCTATTTACCTTCCTTACCTTCCCGGAGAGTCCAAAGTGGAGTTAGTCGATAGAAGCTTAAGGAAAAGGGAAGAAATGTGGAGACATTACCTTTTAAATAGACATTTTATAGTAAAAACAGATCATTATAGTCTTAAATACATTTTGGATCAAAGGCTGACTACAAATTTCCAGCAGAAGTGGCTAGCGAAACTCATGGAATTTGACTTTTCAATTGAGTACAAGAAGGGTCAAGATAATGTAGTAGCAGATGCCTTGTCTCGAATAAGTCCTATTGAGTGCAGTAGTTTGATTATTCAGCAGTTGCAGTCTGAGTTGGTTGATAGGATTCGTGAATACTGGCTTAGCGATGTGAGCTTGCAGAATTTGATCAGTTAAGTGCAAAAAAATTCAGACTCTCATAAACACTACAAGTGGCAGAATGGTGAATTGAGAAGGAAAGGGAAACTTGTGGTTGGGAATAACCTGGAATTAAGAAAAGATTTGTTAGTATGGTTGCATGCATCTGCTACAGGAGGTCATTCAGGAATCAATGCCACCATGAAGAGAGTGAAATCGGTAGTTTATTGGAAAGGGCTAATCAGTGATGTCAGGAGATTTATTCAACAATGTTCTGTGTGCCAGCAATGTAAATATGATAATTCTGCCACCCTTGGATTGTTGCAACCATTGCCTATACCTGATCAGATTTGGCAGCATATTACAATGGATTTTATAGAGGGCTTGCCTAATTCATTCGGTAAGCAAGTCATCTGGGTTGTGGTGGATA